CCCTGGTTCGATCCCTGGGTTGGGAAGATCCCCTGGAGAAGGAAATGGAACACAACAGATACAAGATGATACACACAAAAATAAAAACCAACATCTAAGGGACCTCAGGACCTGAGGGAAAACACAGCAGAGAGTGAGTTCCCTGGGTTTCCTTAATGCTTCACACATATCCTGGACAGAGATCTGCAAAATTATCCAACCTGCAACTTCCAGCAAGTATTAATATATATATTAATATATTGTATTAATATATATATCTCTCTCTCTCCAAGAAAAGACCATATAGCTGAATTCTAGGATAAGATAGTGTCAGCGTGTCATGGAATATAGCCAGTTTGTATCTGATGAACATCTCCTACCTATTTGAGATCATTTGTATGGAATTCTGACCCTAAACTTCTTGTGTAAAGACACAGACACAGTAATTCATAGAACACTCTGACGATAGACATGCCCGATCTTTGGAGGAGAAGTGTGCTCCGCGTTCAGTCTCCCTGGCTCATTGCCACCACAACAGGTGGCCAGAACCAGTTTAGCACAGATATTGTCTGGTGGACCCTCTGTCATTTCTTTCCATTAGTGCCCACCACATCACGATATACTTAAGATCGATTTGGGAAAACTGTGGATGATATCAAATGATGCATTTGGGGGGATGTCAGTTGTTCCAGGATTTTAGGATAAAAGGATTCAGGATAAACAGGGTTTGAAAGAAGTGCCTTATTTTTAGTTGTTGCAATTTGGTGTTCATACTTCAGCTCTATTAACTGTTCTTTACTACTAGCACCACCTGGGAAGCCCTTGAAAGTAAGTGAAAGTCCCTCAGTTGTGTCCAACACTTTATGACCCCATGGACTTTAGCTTACCAAGCTCCTCTGCTCATGGAATTCTCCAGACAATAATATTGGAGTGGGTTGCCATTCCCTTCTCCAGGGGATCTTCCCAACCCAGGGATCGAACTAAGGTCTCCTGCATTAGAGGCAGATTCTTTACTCTGAGCCACCAGAGAAGCCCAAGAATACTGGAGTGGGTAGCCTATCACTTCTCCAGGGAATCTACCTGACCCAGGAATCAAACCAGGGTCTCCTGCATTGCAGGCGGATTCTTTACCAGCTGAGCTACCAGGGACGCCTTTAAAAGCCCTTATTCCCTTATATACATCCTTTTCCAGCCTCTTGCTTCCCAGTCTTTTCAGTCTGGTTGCTGGCTGTCTTGACTGTTAACCCTAGTATCAGGCTGCCATACTTTTGCCTATAAATATTTTCAGTAAATACCACCTGGAAAGCCATCCCAGTCTTGATAATACTCTGAGTCAGTCAGTAAAGCAAAGGCCAGACTTTATGTCAATTCTTCAGGTAGCTGCCAGATATGTTGAAACAGCCAAAATTCTTTGAGTAACGTCCAGATTGCTGCCTTTTACTTGCAACCTGCGCCAAGAGTGTAGACTGTAACCTTCATGGCTGTCACCAATTTGGGAGGTGAGAGGTAATAAGTGGGCAGCTGAAATGCCCTAGTACTATTTTACCATAATGCAGCATTTTCTGTTTTTATTAATCTTTCCCCTTTTGTAGTCAGTTTTTTACTAGATTTCAGAGTTCTGCAAAGGTTAATTCCAAAAGTTTTTGCCAGCTTATTTGCTCTTTTGTGGAGAAATAGTCTTGGAATTCCCTGCTCAACAATTTTCAGTAATGTTTACAAAAACATCGTTACCTTAAATATGCATATAATTTATATTTATATAAATATTTGTACATTTAATTAATCTACATATTTGAATACATATATACATAAATGTGGGTTCCTCTAGTGGCTCAGTAGTAAAGAATCCACCTGCAATGAAGGAAACATAAGAGATGTGGGTTTGATCCCTGTGTCAGGAAGATCCCTTGGAGGAAGACACAGCAACTCATTCCAGTATTCCTGTCTGGAGTATCCCATGGACAGAGGAGGCTGGCAGGATATAGTCCATAGGGTCACACAGAGTAGGACACAGCTGAAGTGATTTTGCTTGCACGCATGCACACACACACACTTTATATATTATCTTTGCACCTTTCAACCTTACCAAATTCCCTTATTAATTCCAAGATCTTTGTTGTAGAGTCCTAGAGATTTTATATGTAAATGATAAAGCTGCCTGAGAACAAAAATGATTCTGTTTCTTTCTAATTTGTATTCCTTTTATTTCTTTTTCTGGCCTTATCATTTTGGCCAGAATTTCCAGATAAGAAAACTGATAATCAAGGACATTAAACATTGTTCTCAATCTCAAAGAGAAAATGATTCCGTTTTTTGCTAATAAATATTGATGCTAGCTGTAAGTTATTTGCATATACATTTTATCGGGTTAAGAAGTTTCTTTCTATACCTAGTTTGCAAAGATTTTTTTTATTAACATTAATACTTTTTGCCACCTATTGAGGTGCTAAACTGGTTTCCCCTTTTAGTCTACTGATACAGGGAAATATATACATTGATTTATTTTATGATGTGGAACTAAATTAAAATATAAGCTATTATATTTTGCAAAGTATGGGAATTTATTTGGCAATATTTTTAGGATTTTGTGTGGCTGTTCATGATTGCTGCTGATCTGTGGTTTCCTTTCTATAATGTCTTGGCTTGGTTTGGTGTGAGGGTAATCCTGACTTCATAAAATAATGTGGTGTTTACTCTTTTTCTATATTCTGGAAGAGTTTGAACTAGTATTAATACACACATATGAAAAGATGCCCTATATCATGTGTCATCAGGGAAATACAAATTAAGTCAATAATCAAATACCACTACACACTATTAGAATAGCGAAAATCCAAAACAATGGAGAATGCTGGAGAAATATGGAGCAATAGGAACTCTCATTCATTGCTGGTGGGAATGCCAAGTGGTACAGCCACTTTGGAAGACAGTTTGGTGGTTTTCTACAAAGCAAAACATACTTTTACCATACAATCCAGCAATCATGCTACTTGGTATTTACCTAAAGGAGTCCTAACGGAGTCAAAAATACGTCCACACAAAACCTGCACCCAAATGTTTATAAGCAGCTTTATTCAAAATTACCGAAAATTAGAAGCAGACAAGAGGTCCTTCAGTAGATGAATGAATAAACTGGGGTACACTCAGACAATAGAATATTATTCAGTTCCAAAAAGAAATGAATGATTAAGCCATGAAAAGACATGAAGGAACTTAAATGCAAATTACTAAGTGAAAGAAGCCAATATGAAAAGGCTGTATACTGTATGATTCCAATTATAAGACATTGTGGACCCCTTCTCCCCAAGTTTGCAGTGACATATAATTGATGTGTACTGTTTGGTATCTATTTTTATAACTTTTTCCATTTATTGTTTCTATGTCAACAGAAGGACAAAGTAAACAAATGGAATGAACTGGAGAATCAAAATTGAAAATAGTCTAGGCAGGTTGGTGTGTGAAAATCAATAATGATTAGCAAAACAAAATGCACATACGTTTGTTTAAGTTTAAGAGAAAAAGAGTACAGTGAGTGTGGAATTTTTGTAACAAGTTTATAGGAACCAGGTCTTTGAAAATTACTTGAATAAAAGACTATGGTAATGAATACTTTGGAAATAGATAGTGGTGATGCTTACACAATATGGTGAATGTAATTAATGCCATTGAAGTACACACTTAAAAATGACTAAAATGGCAAATTTTACATTATATATTGTATGCTTTACCACAATAAAAAACACTATAGTGAAGCCACAGATTTCTCATCTTCAAAGCAAATAAGATCCAGCATAATGGTCTGAACAAATATTCTGTCATATTTATTTCAAAATATAATATCACAGTCTAGATTTAGGCATAGAGAGTATTGAAAGCTCCAAAACTGGTGTTATTTTTTTTAAAGAGTTGAAAAAATCATTTGGAGGAAATAAAGCTGTTCTAAAACAATTGGAGTATTGTCAGGTATTCTCTCTTCTATTCCACAAAAGTATAAGTAGACCTAATTGTCAGAATTCATCTATCCATCCAATCCACAAACCAGGTCTGCTTGATGAAGCCATGCATTATTCCTTTAAACATTGATAAGCTAATAAAATGTAAAAATGGGAGAAGAATCCTAAATACTACTGGATACTTGAGATAAGATGATCTAAGAAAAGGCCCTTTCATGAATCACTGATACGTAAATTTCCTGGTATTGGCCTACATAAGGAAATCCATTAATTATGTGGAGAAATTCTTCATTTGAAATCCAGGATCTCACCATAATAGTCTTCTTTAGTGTAAATGTGGCAGTCCCACCTTCACTTATCTGATCTTCTTTTTTATTTTGATGATAGATAACAAGACGTTCTCATAGTCTTTACCCTTTGTATCTGAATTTCTCTAAAACTTTGCTGAGAGCAGCCATAACTTCTTTATTTCTCAAGCTGTAAATCAAGGGGTTCAACATAGGGGCCACTACAGCGTAGAACAGAGCAACCATCTTTTCCCCGTCCACTGAGTAGGCAGACCGTGGCCCCAGGTACGTGAAGATGGCTGTGCCAAAGCACATGGAAACCACGATGAGGTGAGAGCCACACGTCCCAAAGGCTTTGCTACGTCCCTGAGCAGAATGAATGTGCAGAATGGCAGCAACTATACGACCATAGGAAAACAGAACCAGGGTGAAGGGAAGCATGATCATCAGAAATCCTGAGATGGCCACCATGACCTTGTTGAAAGAGATATCCACACAGGCTAGCCGCAGCACTGCTAGGGTCTCACAGGCAAAGTGATTAATAACACTGTGACACAGGGGAAGCCGAAAGGTGATGACTGTCTCCACCAGTGAATTCGTGAAACCAGCCACCAGGCAGCCAGCAGCCAGTCCCAGGCACAGCCCTCCATGCATGATGACCGTGTAGTGCAGTGGGTAGCACACTGCCACGTAGCGGTCATAGGCCATGGCCCCCAGCAGTAGGAACTCAGACGCAGCCAATGCCAGGGATGCAGAGAGCTGGATCAGACAGCTGTAGAACGGGATGGACTTCTGGACTGAGAGCAGGTGGACCAGCATTTGAGGGACAATACTGCTTGAGTAACAAAGGTCCACAAGAGATAAAACACTAAGGAAGAAATACATGGGGGTATGAAGCCTGCTGTCTAGTCTGATCAGAAGAAGGATGAGGACATTTCCCACAATAGTCACCAAGTACATGGCCAAGAATAAGACAAAGAGGGAGACTTGAGTCCCCCAGTCGCTGGACAGCCCCAGCAGAATGAACTCACTCATCCATGTCTGAGTTTTATTTCCCTGACCCATTAGTTTCTAAGAACTGAACTAAAGATGTCAAAATGACAAAGAAACTCAGAATTGGAAGGTGGCTTTCATACCACACGGAGAACCTACCCGTTTGAATTTAAAGTTCTCCCTGAATGTCAGCCAGAGCATCATCCAAACTCTGCTTAACGTATCTGTAGAGGAAGAATGCAGTGGTATCCAGTTGTGCAGCTGGAAATCAAGGGGAGAAGTGGTTACATTCTTGAAATTCAATTTATTAGAATGTGAGTTTTCTCTCAAACATCTACCCTTAAATGGAGGAAGGAAATTAATGAAGTATTTAGATTTAAAATTATAGTTAACTTAGTTATTAGAAGGGATAATTCCTGTCTTTCTGGTGAGAAAGTTTTTAGCCCACATTAAAGATCTTCTGAATTCTGCATGATGTTAAGTACCATTTAACTTTTTTGTTTTGTTTACTCCCTGGATGTCTCAGACACAACTGTACTCACCCCTCCTCAATGGAATGTATTCATGAAATCCTGAATATTTAATTAATATTCTCATACTTATTACCAAGGGATTTTGAATTTGTTTTCTATAATTTGCCCTTTTAATCTGAGAGTGTCAGGTGGAAGGTCTCATCTTCACCTACCTCACACCAGTGGCCCGGATGGGCATGTCAACCCAAGATGGCCAACTTCAGGAATCAGGGGTTAAATGAAGAGAAGGTATACATACCTGTTAAAATATATCTCTTATGCCCTCCAAGGGTAATTTAATAATGTGTTTAATGATGTCATGTTATCATGCGTGCATGCTCAGTCACTTCAGGCATGTCCAACTCTTTGTGACCCCATGGACTATAGTCCACCAGGCTCCTCTGTCCATGGGATTCTCCAAGCAAGAACACTGGAGTGGGTTGCCATGCCCTCCTCCAGGGGATCTTTCTGGCCCATGGATTGAACCCATGTCTCCTGAATCTCCTGCGTTGCAAGCAGATTCTTTACCACTGAGACACCAGGGAAGCCCGTCATGTTATTACTTAATAACAATATTTTCCCGAGAAAGGGACAACTCATTCATTCAACAATATAACAGGAATCACTCCTCACCAGTAAAGGCAGAAGGGTGAAAATCAGCTGTTAATTATAGAACATGATAACAGAGATATAACAGTTTTTTGACCCCAAGCCAAAACTTCTTTTATGTTTCCTACTTAAAGAAAGAAATGTATCCATAACTAAAGTATGAGCGTGGGAGTTTGAGGTCTCTGAGATACTCCTGTGACAGTACCTGAAAATTCCACATGAGGGTCATTATTCCAATGGCTTCTTTACTATTCATACAGCAGATGGGCAGCAGATTACATTTATTAAAGGTTTCCAGTTTTAGCATAAAAGCTTTTAGGATGATTGTTACAGATCACAGCACTTATAACTCAGATGGTTGGAGGGCTTGCTATTATAGTTTATTTTCATATAGTTAACTATAAAATATTCAGGATTTAGTATTGTTTTGAATAAGGTCCAAAATGTCAAGGAATTTATTCGGAAATTGAATATCACACAGAAAGTATTAGAAATGATCATTGAACAAAGATACCACTTTCAAGTCCTTTCACTGAAATCTTTCTGTCACCTACATCAAACTGATTGGAACAAGACACTCAGCTGCAAGACTGGCAAAAATGCACAATATTTAGAGACATAAGTAATATTCTTCACTGAAACACTTTTGCACAGCCAGAGTGCAAAAATCCACTGGAGTGGGAAGGATGGTAAAAGAAAAATAAGAATCATAATTAAATTTATTTTTATTTGCTGAACGCTTACTTTGTACTAGTCATTGTACTAAATATCTCATATATCTACAAATATATGGGGCTTCCCATATATTTGCAAGTGGTAAAGAATCTGCCTGCCAATGCAGGAAACGCAAGAGATACAGATTACATCCCTGGGTCAGGAAGATCCCCTAGAGAAGGAAATGGCAACTCATTTCAGTACTTCTTGCCTGGGAAATCTCATAGAGAGGAGCCTGGAGCGTTACCATCCATGGGGTGGCAAAGAGTCGGACACAATGACTAAGCAACAAAAATATAATATGTCTTCACAACGACACTGTGAGCTTTGGCTTATTATCTCCGTCTTACAGATGGGAAAAAGAGCTGAAGTGACTAGACAGTGGAGGAGTCAGCAGGTAAGTAGGGTTATCTGATAACCTGGGGCACATCCATTATGCTTCTCCTATACATAGCAGACCCTGTGTATAGCACGTGACAGTCATTTTTTAAAGGCTCTGGCTACACCAAACATGAAAATCAGGAGACATATCAAGGAGACTAAATGAGTTCCTACTTTCTACTTTTGAGGCCACTTATCAGAGTACTGGTGGGCCAGAGTAGGTCCCTCTCATTTACCTGTGAAGTTGAGGTCTGGCCTTCAAACCACTTCAGCAACATAAGGAAGAGAAACACAGCCCATCTCCCCCATTAGAGACTCTGTTCTTGAAGTACATGGAAGGCCTCGTTCATAAACTTGAAAAGGTGATCATGCTTCTACTCTATCTGATATGGTGATGAACAGTGTCTTATAGTGGATCCACGGCAGGAAATCCTTTCTTGCTCTTCTAAGAGAAAATTAAGAGCTCTGAATACGAAAAATAAGGAAACAAAAATGATCCGATATCAGAAATGGATACATCAAGTGCTTACTTTTAAAAATCAGCTTTCAAAGTTTCGAACCTAAGAATAGTTTTGTCTAGATAAAATAATGTCCTTAGGTTGCTCCCATGTCCTATATGAAAAACAGAAAAAGAGACTCAGATGTACAGAACAGACTTGTGGACTCTGTGGGAGAAGGTGAGGGTGGGATGTTTCGAGAGATCAGCATTGAAACATGTATAATATCTAGGGTGAAACAGATCACCAGCCCAGGTTGGATGCATGAGACAAGTGCTCGGGCCTGGTGCACTGGGACGACCCAGAGGGAGCGGGTAGAGAGGGAGGTGGGAGGGGGGATTGGGATGGGGAATACATGTAAATCCATGGCTGATTCATGTCAATGTATGACAAAAACCACTACAATACTGTAAAGTAATTAGCCTCCAACTAATAAAATAATAATAATAATAATGTCCTTAAACAGTAAGAGGTGAGACATGATGAAGGGGCCTGGTCTGAGGGTATGAGTTTCATCTGATTGAGAAAATTTGTCCCTTCTGAGCTGACTCCCATGGGAAACTCAGAATCTCTTCTCTGCAGTGGTGAGTGCTTATAAATAGAACCAACATATCCCCCACTGTTCATGTAAATGGTTACTATCACACTAATAGAAAAAGTGGACTACATTTCCAGGTCACCTGGTAATCACTCCAAAGGCAGAGGTAAAATTTTGAGTAGCCATGTAGTTAAGCTAAACTCATTACGCAGATGGAGGAGAGCCCAAAATTCTTTCCACTCATAGAATCACTTTCCACTGTGGCCCCTTTGGAACCGACACATAAACACACTCAGTCATGCTTAAACTGTTTCCAAACTTCTTTTCAAACCTACTTAGCTGTACACTCACAAACATAATATGAATAGTCAGAACATAAATTTTAGGATGAACTTCTACCAGAGGACAACTATATCAAGCCACTATACTCTGAGACTTGAAGAATACAGGAGAGGTCATGGATTATAGAAAGCTGGTTTCACAGTTTGTGTTGCTAAATAAGTGCTGAAGAAAGACTGGAAATGCCTGAGTTACCTCTGGAGAATGGAGGGGGCCATCCTGTGCCTTGGAAAGATCGCAGGGCTGGGAGAGTTGTGGAGTTTGAAGCAAGTGCAGTTGGAACAGGTAACTTTCTATAACTTAGTGATAAAATCTCAAGGGGCCAATTATTTTTTGCTTATTAGATTCCTTTTAATTTTCCTCTCCCTCTGCCTGGTTACTTCTGCATCTAACACCCTAACCTACATTTCAACTTTGCAAATGAGAATTTTGTTTCCTTGTCTCTGGAGCATGAGAAAGAACTCACCAAACTTTAATTTCTCAGGGGAAGTGTCTGTCTTCAGTGATACCAGCTTTGGATTGTGCATGCATCCATGCTAAGTCACTTCAGTCGTGTTCGACTCTTTGCAACCCTATGGACCGTAGCCCACAAGGCTCCTCTGTCCACAGGATTCTCCAGGCAAGAATGGGTTGCCATTCCCTTCTCCAGCGGATCTTCCTGACCCGGGGATCGAACCCACATCTCCTGAGCTCCTGCGTTGCAGGCAGATTCTTTACCACTGAGCCACCAGGGAAGCCCCTTTGGATTGTTGGGATTTTTATCCCACGTTAGGACCATGGGTCCATGGGGTCACAAAGAGTCAGACATGACTGAGCGACTGAACTAACTGAACTGTAGGACCGTAGGAATTACATCAAAATTTCCCCATTCCAATTCACCCATCACCACATCCCTTTGAGCAATAGCTCCCAGGTCAGCAACTCAGGGGACCATTGGGTGCTCTGTGGTACATCACCTAGTCTGAGGTCGGGCAAGGAGACATCTTTTATGCCAATACCTGAGAGCTGGGCTGCTGCCCAGGCTTTCCAGGTTGCTCACTGGTAGAGAATCTGCCTGCCAATGCAGGAGACACAAGAGACATGGATTTAATCCCTGAGTCAGGAAGATCCTCTGGAGCAGGAAATGGCAAACCACTCCAGTACTCTTGCTTGGAAAACTCTATGGACAGAGGAGCCTGGTGGGGTACAGTCCAGGGGGTTGCAATGAGTTGGACATGACTGAGTACACACACACAGTCCAGGTTTGTAATTCTACCATCACATTCTGTAACCTTAGAAATTTTGCCTTCCCCTTCACTTTAAGGAAGATGATCTTCTATATGTTGGTTTGTACTTAGGGATTTTTAGTGTTCAGAATCTTTAATAAAACACCACTACCCTCTGTTAAAAAATACTCCAGTGAAGATGCTAAGCATTGTGCAGTGATACTTCTATTCCCCATTTCCCTTTCCCAAGAGTGGCAGGGGAGATTTCTACCACATG